AACATCGCTCCCCTCTCGTCCTGTAGCAGCTTGCTAGGACACTGGGAAATACCTGACAGTGAGCAGGGAGCCCTGACACACGCTGCTGTTTCTTCTGCTCTGTCACGAGACAGCATCGTTCCACTACGGACTGAGTTCAGGGGATAGCAGAAATAATTACAAGACCTCGGCCCTTAGCTGCCATGAGGTGTGTCAGATTCCTGATAAACTCTATGTTGCAATTTAAAGGAACTTTTAATGCGATATTCTGTGGCTACACAGACTCAGCCCTTGCTATTTTAAGGGAAGCAGCCTTGTCCCAGTCACTTACCACATTAAACTATGTAATTTTGTTAACTAATTAGAGGTCATTATAATGAATTACATGGGCCAAATTTCCACTTAGTTCATAAGATGGCCCAGCCCCATCTGGCAATGTCTTTAAAGAAAGAATGCAGTATTTCTGTAAATACAGAAATACTGCTCTCCTCTCTCTTCACCTTGTAAACCCTGTTTTCTACCAGCTTGTCTTTTTTTGCATTGATTCTCCTCCCCTCACACTCTGTGATTAAATGTTCTCCTCTCCCCCAAACTTACTGTCTGCAGCGCCTTTTGCCTGGGCTCAGAGACTGGACAAAAACGTGCTGGAAGCAAGCAGCCTTGCGCTGCCGTTCTGCAGCATACCAGCACACAGAATTGCTGCGCTCTCCTCATTTTACATGCACGCTGTCTCGGGAGCAGATCCTGCAATTTGTTCTGCTTGGCCACGGGTATCTGTGCAAGAGAGGGAGAAGAGAGGAAAGGCTTCTAATCTGCTATACGTAGGAATCCTTTCATGCAAGGCGTAGATATTCCTCAGGATAGGTAAGTCTCCCCTCTCATGGGGATCAAAACCTCCCCATGCTCCTGCACAGGTATGCCAGGCCTCTACTACAGCGGCAGGAACCAGACAGTCAGCAGTAGGGCCTTGCAACACTGAACTAAATTTTAACCCATTTACCCACAGCTGCCTGTTTTACCATTATGTTGTTAGGAATAAAGAAGCTGAATCTCCGGAAGCAATTTGAAGTGACTCTCCAACTAATACAGTTAATTTTTTTACTAGTGGTCTTTTCTTAAGCTGAGTTATGTATAAAGTATGACCGTATAAATTTAAGAAGAAAAGCCCTGAGAAGAATGAAGGCATTCCGTTTTCTGCGAGCACACAGTCCAAGGAGATGATATATTACAAAGGATTAATAGCACACTGAAGAAACAGTAAAGTTTATCTTTGACACAGTGAACTCTGGATTTAACATACAACTCTAGGAGATAGATGTTTATTTTCTTAACTGTGTCCTGGGAGCCCATTTTTAGAAAATTGAATCAATCTGATTCCTCCAGTATGTGTATAGTATATATTCGAGACCCAGCAAATGGACATTCTCAGCCTCTGAAATACTCTGTGTTCCTTACTCACATTAAGTGAATGCATGAAAGCATTGGGTTCCTTTCTGATCAAAACAGCATCTTCTCGTGCACTCCTAAACAGAAAACATCATTACGAAAAGCCACCAGGAGGCAGCATATTAAAACATTTGTGGTATAAAAGGACATAGACAACAATCAAAAAAAACCCCAAACCAAAACCCTCAAACCCTTGCCCCTCTCCCAAAACTTCAACCTGACATTTAGCAAATGTATTCTCCCCACCCCTCTCCTCATCATTATGCTTTATGCACTGATCTCTCTTCTTCTCTACATACCTGAAATCAGTAGCAATTCCACTGCTGTCCAACAGCTTACTGCAGGCACACAGTTAAAATGGAAGTCAAACTGATCTCTGGAATAGCATTTAGTGGAAAAAAAATGAGTAAACAAAGTAGGTAGAAGCGATATGACAAAACACAAAACCTCTCAGCAGACTAAACAGCTTTTGCTTCCTCTGGGGTTTACCGAAACATTCCGAACCTCTGAGCTCTCCCCTAACTATTTTTCTTTTTGTTTACAAATACATAGCGAGATGCCACCCAGAAGGAAGCACTGAAATTCTCACACACCCAGGAATACGCTCCTGGCTCCTTCGGCAGGCGGTACTCCTGGATCACTGCCACACCAACGCCGCTGCCACAGGTCTGTCTGGCAACTACGCTGCCCCTGGCACAGAACCAGAGAAATGATCCAGCTCTGCATTTCGTGACCCACGAAAGCTGGAAGTTGTCTCCTCTCCTCCGCCCCCTCGGTCCTTCTTTTCTGCTGGTATAAAGGACCGTTCTCAGTTGTGGCTCAGCATAGGATAAGAGAGCCTAAAATCACTGCAGACATATATGAAAGCTTTTAAAACTGGCACGCTATTTTAAATGCTAATTATTTATGTACTTCAATGCATTTTATGGTCTGCAGTGCTTAACACACAATACCTCCTCTTACAGCATCTTGTGGTACAGGCTGAGCATATGAAACACAGTAAGGCAGCCGCTGAGATGTGCAAACTACCTAAAACATTTCTAAATATGGACCTATAAATGCAAGGTATGTGCAAAATCTATCAACAAAGTACAGCATAAACAGTGTACAATCAGGTCGTCCAGAAAGGAAGTTAAGAACTAACCAAAAGACAAATCACGAAAGCAAACACTCCAATTTTCAAACTGCAAATTCTGCTCGTAAGAAGCTGCACCCGTGTCTCTGACTTCTTAATTCAAACAAGACACTACACATTTTCCAATGCAAAAAAAAAAAAAATCACAATTAACTGGAAAATTAAAACACAAGCACAATGTCAGCAGAAATCACAAATTTATTAATCCTTAAATATATCAATCATTTACCATTATGGCAAGAAATATGTACACTGTGTCCCATGGTAAACTGCAGTGTTCCAAAATGACAGAAGAGAAGTTTATAATTCAGTTGTGGTGGAGAGAACAAATCACAATTTCCTCACATCTTGGTGTGGAAGACAAACTTGGTCTACAGTAATACGTCAACACCACATGCTATGTTAGAAGTATAAAAAAAACACCCTACACCTAATTCATTAATTTTAAATACAGTTATGCCACTTATAGCCGCTTCACAAAAAAAAAAAAACAAACAAAAAAAACAAAAAAAAAGAAATTGATGAGAAAAAAAATTAGGCCATTACTTTTTTCACAGATCCCATTGGCAGGTTAATATGGCTCAACACATTTATTGTAGATCCTTACTTTAAATATATATTGTTTAAAATCATGTAGTAATTATCAGAGAAGCTTAAATCCATCTACCATACATCCACTAGTAACAACATCAAAATGCTTAAGAACTGCTTTTGATTAGTAATCAACACAGAAAGGTGAAATGATACAAATTAGGAAGCTTTCCCGTTTTAAAAACTTCAGGCTGCTGAGCTGTAAATTTTTAACCGCTAAAAAGGACATCGATTGAGATATCATGCACTATACAGCGCTGCAGAAAACAGTTAGCCCTGTTGGTAACACAACAATTAACAAATGAAAAAAAAAAAAAAAACAAACCAACAAAAAAAAAAAAAACAAACCAAAACCAAACCAGAAATAACCAATCCCTGTATGTTTCTGTTAAAAATGGAAGGGAATAAACCTAAATGCTTGCAAGGATGTATTTTTACAGCAACATAAGGGGAGCAAAGATAGTCCCTGTTACAAAGTTCTGACCTGGCACTGGGAGCATTCCCCGCGCAGCAGTGGCTCAGGGGCCAAATCAATTGGTAATGCTGCAGATTGCTGTCCTTGATACTATACACTGCGTGAGGATTTTAAGAAATAAAGAGCAGATTGAGGGGGAAGAGAAGGGGGGAAACAAACCTGTGCTGAAGTGTTAGTCTTACTAGAAAACTGGTGTATCCACAATACATTTCCAGAGAAGCAACAGCAGCAGTATAAAGTAAGTAAATTCTTCATACTAAGCTTTTAAGGCCTAATATTTCTCAAGTATATTAACCAAGCAACTGGTCTATAGGTTAACCAAAATTTTATTATTTTTAAAGCCTCCTGAAAAAAATTACAGTACACCCTAAAAGCGATAAAAATCTACCTTTCTCTATTCTTCCGTTTTAATCCTCAAAAACTGTCCCTCAATCATCACTTAGTTCCTCACAATTTTTAATTTTGCTCCATCATCCGACAGAAATTTTCAATTAGCATTGTAAGAAAGCAAACATAAAGACAAAAGAAAAAAAGAAGCTGCTGGCTCATCAGAACATTGACAGTTAATTCTGAAGTGACCAAGCCAGCAAATGATGAGATTTTTCCAGTTTACATAGACTAATAAACTAAGAAGGCTTCAGCTGGTACAAAGCCAAGATATTATCACTTCCACATTTATCAATGATTTTGTCCATCTACATGCTGTAATAAAAACCTGTTTTACAGTAATGGAGCTGCCAGCGGAAATCCTCACCATTCCTACCAGAACCAAAGCAAAATCCTGGGGGTCAGGGGAAAAGGAGGAGTCAAAAAACAGTTCTTAAAAAAAGAGGGTAAAATGTACTTTTTTTTACTTTTTTTTTTTTCTAATAAACAGGATAGTTTTTAAAGTTGTCTGTCAAAACTTGGCATATATGGAGAAAGTGACGAATGTATTCTGTATCTACTGCTGTCCATCGAATATTTTTTTTGTCTTTTATGCCTTGTTATTCTCTATATGCATGGAACATCACCTTCATTGAAATGTTAACAGTGTACAGATGGAATATACAGCAACATGGTGCATCACAAATGTGTTACATGAAGAACCTTCACAACTTCATGCACTCAGAAACATGCATGAAGAGAACGGGATGGCCAAGATGGTAATCAACCAGGTGCGTTGGGTACAGAAAATGCAAGAGCGGCACCGCTGATATTTTTAGCTAGGAGGAAGGAGAAAAAAAAAAGAACAGATTGCCATTACTGAAGTAACATCACCACCAGTTAACAATACATGCTCAAGTGTTAACCAATACTATTAAAAAAAAAATCCTCTCAAGATAATTTAACACAATATTGTTAAGAAAACCAAGGGAAAAAAACCCCAAACGCTCAGACAAGGCATTCTTTTATTTTTCAAACCACTTTACATACATTTTCCATCTTTACAACATGCCAGAGAGGCTATTAAAATAAAAATAAGGAAACTGAGGCAGGAAGTCAAAGTGCCTTAACCGATTTCTTAAAGGAGGGAGGGCAGAATTCAGATGTGAATCTCCAGGTTTAACTTACTTCCTCAGCACATATATTACAGACACTGCCATGGACCGAGATTCTCATACAAAAATTGAACCAAGTAACAAGGAAGAATCAAATGTCATTTACATGCAAGACATGCTAGAGCCATATGCAAAGAGAAAACAAAAGAAAGGGAACGTGTAAGCAAGTAGTTAACTAACTCAGCTTAGAATATCATTTGTATTACCGTAGCATCTAGGGGCCGAAGTCATGATTGGGATCCCGCTGTGCTAGGCACTGTACAAACACAGAACAAACTCTTTACTTAACTTCTCCTGCTGTTTGATATCTAACTTATGAAAGCATAAGAAGGTGTAAGGTGCGGTGACAGAATATAGGCCTGGGAGCCTCAGGTCTGAATTCAGGTTTGGGAGTCAGTTTTAGGTTCAGTAGCCCTTTGACTGCCCGTATCATGCAGGTCCACTCTGTGTATATGCAGACACAGTTCTGCAGAAACACATTAGCACAAGTTCTCAAGAACATGGAATACAGAGAAAAACTCCTTACCATCAGTCATATCACTCAGAGAGAAACAACGGACAAGCCAGAAAACAAAGTCTGTCTTGTCTGACTCGCACCAAAAGCTACCAATAAAATCTATTTATAAACTAAATATATATTTGTGCTCATATTCTTTTCTAAATAAATTATCTGCCATAAGGAAACATTTCCATATACATAGGTATATGGAAGAACAACTCGGTTCTGTCCTTAGTTATGCACACTCCTTACTGTAGTCCTGAAAACAAATAAGCTATGGTGCTTGCAGCAACTCATTTGACATAATCTAGGACACTGCACTTGCAAAAGCAAATCACAGCTATAATTGCCTTTGCAAATTTATTAGATTTTAAATTCTTCTTCAGACATTATACGAAAGATAGTTTTTTATTAGGGAAGTGCCATTATTAAGTACTGTGTATTGGTAATGATCAAATAAATAGCTATAGACTGTATACATTTCAAATACAAGAAAAGAAAGAAAGGATAATCTAGAACAATATTTTATTTAAACTTCTTCCATAGTTTTCCAAAATGGAGTCATTGCTACACTGCTGCTCTGACTGGGAAAAGCAAAGGTGAAGTACAAGGCAGTCTAAAAGATGGTCAGGATGGGTTATATAGGCAAGTTCTAGCGTGCTGCTCCATGGGAATCTACCAGTTCAACTTGAGAAGAAAGAATATGTAAAGTAACTAAAAGAAAAGAGACAATGCTTGGGCTGAAAGGGGAACTATCAGCCTAGAGGAGACTCACAAGTCTTCGAGCACAACCAGGAGGACTGATCTCATGTAGTATACTTACACTTAGGTGGAAGGCACCATAAATACAAAAGGAAGCAAGAGTATTGTGCAAGAACCACCAAATAACCTTGAGGGCTGGGTAATCCAGAAATGTTACATGTAATAATAGGAAGTACAAAGCTGCACGCTTAGCAGAAGTTCCTATATACTCATTGGCTGGAAATGACAGTTGAGGATAAATATGTGGCTGTCTTAGATGATCTGCAGATATGACGTAGATGACAAAAGTACAAAAATCATGCCAGAAGATAGCAGGTGTGGCATTCTCAACAGGGAAAAGACAAACATTGTGAACTTAAATAAAGCCCTGACCACAGCTGTACACAGTATTTCAGAAGAACCCAAGCTAATGAAAAGACAAACCTCAAACCAAAAAAGCCTGTGAAGAGCTATTAAAGTAGCCAGGAAAAATGCGATCCTATCAAAAAAAAGCCAACCCAGTTAGCATTGTTTATTTACGCTATGAAGATAGAGGTTGTGAAGGTGGGAGGTGATCTAATCAGCCTTCATATAAAACAGCTCCTATCAGTATAGAACAACTGTGAAATAAGAATAATCAAGGATGACTTAATTAATTACTCAAGATTGATCAATTGAATACAACTAAGATTTAGACTGGAAAGTAAGGTCTAACTGTCAGACCAATGATATTTTAGAACAGTGATAGCAGCAAGTCCAAAAGAACCCTCTGAATTCAAGATAAGGGCTAGATAAGGGATTTATGGGGTACTGTTGCCAGTGCTACAACTAAGGGGCTACACATCTAGGCATACGTTGCAATCTCAGAGCGTCTCTCCTTAAGCCTTAGACATGCTCTAAGGCTTTCAGCCACTATTCCTCCTCTGTGACCTTTTCAGCTCGGATTCCCTCTTGCAATCCTGAAATATCTCTTAAGTTAAAAATATCCTGTTAATCTGTTAAAAACAAAATTCCACCCCCCTCCAAAAAAAAAAAAAAAACCCAAACCCAAACCCAACACCTTTTCAAAAAAATAGAGGAGAAAAAAAACCCAAGGGACAAGATTAAAAAATTCTCTAGTCCAATTCATGTCATTCTGCTATAAACACTCCGCAGGGTGCACGGGGACAGGTGAATCTGTTTCACCTATGCTTTCTGGCTCTACCCATACCCAGAGCAGATCCCTTGACCAAATAGTCCCCTTTATGGAAACATCAAAAATCTACATAACACTACATTTCAGGAAGATGTAACTACTCTTTTGATATTACCCGTTTAAACACTGGCGGTGCATCTGGAATGTGATAAACAAAGGATGACATGATTCCTGCTCCTATTGGTTTCACATTTTAAAATAAAATACAATAGTTATCACTGGGTAATCTAATTACTTTTTCTCCTAAATGAAAAAAAACCCAAAAACAAAACAAACCCAAACCAATAAAATTCATCCCCACTGAAGTTTAACACTTCATTCTACCACGTCCCTTGCTTTACCAAGTATTATTTCATATGGGAGAATAGTGTTTCAAGAAGCAAAACATGGAACATGAAGAAGTTCGAAGGCTGAAATCTAAGCTCTTATCATCCATGCCAGGAAATTCAGCCACTACCTACATTAAGACACCTCACACAAATGTAGTTATATCCTATACAGAGGGCTTGCACCTGAGCAAACCAAGGCGTATGCTGGTGCGGCCTGATTTGGAGACAGCCTAACCTAAGCCAGAAGTCAGTGAGGCTGGGCTCCGAGGGACACAACAGCATTAGCAAAGGCTGCAAGCTGAAGGAAAGTAAAGGACTTGTGCAGAACCTCTTGAAGAAGCTGTGACTCTTTATCTTGTTATCGCAACTGTGAGCGTGCTGTAATTTACACTGCTGGAAATCTGGCTCAAGGAACTCAGGTTTGCGCGCGCTGAGTCACGGCACGACTGACGGTATGAGAGGGCATGCAGAAATGCCTGAATGAACAGAAGAGAAAAATGGTAATGGGAGAGATCTGAGGCTCACCCACATAGATGTCATAACTATCAGACAGGGACTATTCGGCAGTTAAGCAAAGAGAGTGTGGGAAAAGAGATGAGAATGTGACGGGTACTTGTACGACTTAATTTACAAAGTAAATACATAAACTGGCTCAAAATCAACCTGTAGTGAACATAACTAGGCTTGAGTAAGTAGAGATGGCTAGAAATCACAACAAATACTCCTCAAACTTCATTTTTTCAGAACAGTGATACTTTTTTTCCTTGATATTTTCCAGTCAGCTCTCACAGCTCCATGTATCCTATTGCTTTTTTATTTTTTCAGGTTTTCCTGAAATCCCATTTCAGGATTTCTAATCCTATTTTGTGTGAGTTGTATCAAGCCTTATCTACACTAGAGCAGTTTTCTGCTCTTCAAGCTGTCAGTTCAGGGACTGAGTTGGATCAGTGGGCATCACAGTTGAAAACAACAGCAAATAAAGCATTATTTTAAGAATATTTGCACCAATACTATATGCACACTACTGAATATATTACACATTGCATAAATGACCACAAGAAATTACACTATCGAGAGGATGGTTTCATAGTTTTTAAGGCCAAAAGCAGCTATTAGACTTCTGGTCTGACCTACATAGTTTAAGCTTGTGGTCTGAATTGTTTCTTACTTGATAGGTACTGTTGGTGACCCTGAACGGTGAAAATGAACATTCTGCCATTTCCCATCACGACGGTGCCAGACCCGCGTCTCCTCTGACTGCATAGTCTTTGGCATCCCACTTCCATCCATGTACTGTGTGAGCCGTATGTATGCAATGCAAGCAGCATCGTCACCCACAAGGTGGACATGAGGATTGAGGATGATGGTGTGGATTGGCTTATTACTTTTGGATAAAGCTAGGAAACAAACACACACACAGAGGGTAAATTAGATTTTTCTCTCCGCAAGCCACAATAACTCATTGCACTCCACTTTATGAAACAAAAATCTCAAGCTTAGCAGATACAATGTAATAATTATTGTTTACTGATAGTCATGACTCACCACTAGCTCAAGTACATTGTAGAAATGAGCACACTCACAGCATAAAGCATGTTTTCACCTTTCTTCTAAGGAAACCAATCAAATGTTTAATAGTAGGTATTATTTAATCCATGTACATACGTGGATTAAATAAAGTGGGGGCCACCATCTTGAGTTTCCCAATACTTCAGTTTCACCACTGTGTTTAAAGTCTAATGACATTTGTACTTAATATTTTCCGTTAAAACAATTCAGCTTTTAACTCACTCTTGTGACATATTTTATTAAGTGCTGATATCTAAAAAAACTAAAAAGCAGTGGTAACGAAAGGAAACATTTTAATGAAAAAGAGGAAAAATGCTGTTTTGGAGAGGGAAGAGAATTTAGGAAAACAGCAATCCCATTTTATGCTCAGACATTTCTCAGAAATTACTGGATAAAGTAGTATTTTCATTTACAATATTTTATTTCCTTTTGAGTAAAGTCTGCTCTAAAATGGCTACCTACATTACATGATCCTCCAGAACTTTATTAAATCCACTCAATGGGTAATTTTTATTTCCTATAGCTGACATGATTGCAACGTGTATATATATATTACATATATATTGATGTTTTCATATATATATATATATATATATATATATAGGTACACACCCACCCACACACCCCCAATACAAAAAAGACAGCTGATCATCTCCTCAGCAGTACAGACGGAGTGACTACAGTGACTTCCCCAATACGTCACATACTCCCTGGAAGCGCTGACTGTTAGTTGCAATCACTGTAATCACACAATTTACGACCTTTCTTTTAAATATACTCACAGCATGATTTTCTCTTTTCCCCAATGGAATGAAAAATAAGTGTATGAGAATTACGTATCTATGGTTGGTTGATTTTTTTTTTTATACATCTCAACCTTCTCTTTCCAAATAACTGAAACTTCCCTCTGCTATGCGAGGTGCCCTATGATGTGTGAATGGGCGCAGCAGAAACAGACACAAAAACACATATAGCAGAACTCTGAAAAAAAGAATACTCCCCCTGGCCAAATCAATTAACTCCCAAACAAAAATGCTAATTTGACTGGAGAAACACAATCATAAGGCACAGATGAAAAATGAATGTTTACCATTTTCAAAGTAAAACCGGTGAAAGTCCATCCCCTCTACTAGATTACCCAAAGCTTCAGGTTCAAAAGATGTAAGGCCCGGATCACAGATTTTTCTGTGGAAAAGAGGAAATTCTGTAATAAACACATGCAGTCATATTAACACAACTTTGGACATACTACTTTTAAAATGTTTCCTTTATTCCTATCGGACATGTTATTTACCTGTGCCATCACACTGTAAAAGAACTTAAATGGGGAGACATAATGGAGTTCTGGTTTTACCTAAATTAGTGAATTTTGCAGCTTGCTTTAGGCGGACTAGATTTCATATAAATCATCTCTGACCAATAAGAAAACTGCCAAAGAAGGCCCCACAAGTCAATGGTATTAGAACCAGGAAATTTTAGTTGCGACTCTAAAAACTGCTTCTGTGCCATCCAGAGGATGTTTTTTTATGTCTCGCATAATTATTTAAGCAAGATTTAATCTTTTCTTTCTTTTTTTTTTTTAACTGACAAAATTTAGATGAGATTTTGGAATACATTTCCACTTGACTGTACAACAAAGGTTTTAATGTGATCATACCAAACTAAAGTTTAGTGCTGGCCAGCCTTCAACAGGATGAGCATAGTCACTGTTGAACTGTGAGGCTTGTGCTGCAACGGGATAGAATCCACCCAGAGAAACACAGGAGACCAACAGAAATGCTGAGAAGGGCTTTCCTCCATGTTTCAAGATTTTTTTTTTGAGGTAGGAAGAGAAGCAAAGCAGTGATGGAATTGTGTCTTTGCAGAGAAAAGCTGAGAAAGATAGCGGTCCACTTTCCCCCCAGCAAATTCTCACAGTGCTCAGTAGCGGCTGGTGGAACCTAAAATCTACATGGTCCTTCATGCTCTGAAGTACAAGTGGGATTCTAGCTAATATTGATCTCTACATACAATAAAAATTTTCTGCTAGAAGAGGCTTCTACTGTGTTTTCTGGGTTCTAAATCACAAACGTGACTTTACTTTTGTACCCCAAGATAGATCACTGCACATTTTCCGACAGGATTATGATCCCATCTCAGCAGAGTAGTACACTGGATTTACACCAGCAGTTCTTCCGAAACCAGCAACCAGTATAAAGCCAGGGCAAAGCAGCAGTGAACATGTCTTGTGTTTCTTGGGAGCATCTGAGAATGAACTTCAGCAATACATAAATACAAACACACACTCACATATAAGTACACATATTTACATGTACAGTGTCAAATACATCAATTCTCCTCACTAAATGAGAAAACTTACGTGTAAGCTTCAAAGTCCCCATTGTTGATAGCTTCAATCAACTGCTCAGTAACCTTGATAATCTCTTGCTTACGAGCTAGAGAGAGATACAAATACAGTTCTTAAAACGGAAGGCAATGTGGAAGGTGAGAGTTGAAAGGCTGTCAGAACAGCCGTAACAAAGGTATCCTGTCATTCCTCAGCTGGCGCAATGGCCACTTCTCATCCTGTTCTGTGACCAAAGGACATGATGTTATATTGCTGCTTTACACTGTTTTGGCTTCAATGTCCTCCTGTATTCACGAGGAAATTAAACACATGAAGATCAATCCACCTTCCTATCATGCTTCTAATCATCTTTCTTTCCCTGAAGGATCTGCTGGTTAAAAAAACAAAACCAAACCCCAACCCTTAGATTCAAATTAAAGGAAACTGATTATTATTTTGTAAGCAATGCTCTCATGTTTCATATATACATGGGGCCTTTACCTTTTAAGTGTCTAATACTGATTTTCAGGAACCTTTGTAACACTTGGTGTTCACTTTGGCCGAATGTGTACATTTAAGTCAAGAGGAATGTAGGCCCTAAGCCTATAATCAAGATTCTCTGGTGCAAAGCTCACGGATTACATATAATGCATCCACATCCACACAGGTCTAATTACAACACAGTGTCTTTCAGCTCTGACTTCTGTGATGGTGCCTATCTTTTAACTGTAAAATGCTTAAAACACCTATATTACAATAAATCTCAATTAGATCATCTGGTGATATTACAGTACATCTACTAACTAATAGTAATAAATGCTAAATAGTAATGGGAGAATAATACATTAAAAACAACAAGCAGAATATGTATTTATAGTAACACTATTCAAACTCAAGCAGTGTTTGCATATGCTTCAAAGGCAAGAGTATGTGAAATAGTTTCTCCTTCATCTATCAGTCAAGAAATAAGCTCACAGTTCAGTATTTGTTAATGTTGACAGGAGTTACACTAAATCAGTGCAGAGTAAACAAATTCCTGCACAGTGGTACAGTTATTACTAATACCAGTTACCCTGGGAGGGAAAAGTTTAAGAGACTTTATGGAGATGGAAAATCTGACTTCATTTTGAAAACTGACTTCTGCTTTTAAAAACTTGTTTTTTGAGGAACAGATGCTTATATTTTTGCACTGTACCTTTATCATTTGGTAAAGGTCAACCTTACACTGATAAAGTTCAACCAGAGTGGCACTATTCTCAAATACAGATTTTTGTGAGCTTAGTGCTAAACAGGTAAGGGAGAGACTTTTTCCTGGTACATTTGCAAGGCTTAACTTATATTCAACTCCTTACTAAAGCTCAGAAAATCAATTTGGAAGACCAAGCTTGAAATAAAAAGAAACGCAAGGAACCAGGCTGTAGCAGCTCTCTTGTGCAACCAACAGTTGTAATTTTCCCGCACACTCCTACATGTGGATTAGACTATTAACACACACACACACGCGCACACATACAAATATGCTTGGAATGTTAAAAACAAAGTATTGAGAGAGGTCACATTCTTCTTCAAAAAGAAAATGTTGGGGAGCATAGGCGGAATACAAGTCTCCAATGTTGTACTGTAAGAACTGGCATCACAGTGTTAAAGAACCTTTTAATTTCTTTTATGCTCCACCACCTCTTTTAGTAAGTGCACACCTAATATATTCAGAAAAAAAAACACCAAAAAGAAAGGAAAGTAAGGAAAGAAGTGATGGAGAAAAGAAGTCAATATAAAGGCCTAGCAAGGCTTTTTGTGAGTAGCTGTTGACTATTAGCATGATGGGAAAGAATATTTAAGGTATGAATTGCCTTATTTTTCCCTAAGACTGTGGAAAGAACAAAGAATTTTAATGAAGAGATGTTTTGACTGCAGATCAGCAATGGCTCCACTGTCATATGGTTAAAATAAACAACATAGACCAAATTGTGGACACTGTATAGGGTTGTCAGCATAAGCCAAGTGGTAGGATGGTTGAGTAGGAGATAATGGTGCAGTGTTAGAAAAGGCTGGCAAAAAGAAATCCAGAATATGTAGGCTTCATGCAGTGAGGAAATCACAAGTTTGGCATGCAACATCTCATACACATGTAACTAAACTAAAGATTTGATTAAATAATCCAGTAACACATTCTAATCAGACTAGGAAATCACAGACTATTAAATCAGACAGTGGAAAATGAGGTAAAAATCTCTGATGAGCTGCTATATAATCACGAGATCACGTTAGTAGATAACAATGTGAGAAATGAAAACATCTATAAAGGTCCTGTAGTTTCCACACACAAGAGACATAAACCCACGCGGACACGTAACTTTACTTTTACTTGGCTAGAGACAATTGGCAATACTCCCTTTTCCACTAACATCAGTCATTTCTTTTCAAAGCTTTACCATCAGAAACCCACAGTTAACTTACATGTTATACATACTCTGACAGGGAACAGCAAACAACAGTGAATATCTGAATATATTCTATTACACAACATTTTGTGATCCAAGCCCAGAGACTTGCTAAGGTGTTTTGGTTTGTTTTAAATGAACGGTGCGCAACAGCTCAAGTTAGGTGGATGGTAACCTGACTCACTGGCATCTGTTGGTGTCCTTCAACAGTATGAGTTAAAGGAATGTGAATGACAGAAGTTTCTCTCTGCAAGTCTCTGCAAGATTTTGAGATTTGATTTCAATCTGAATGAGAACGGAAATTTTTGCTAACGCACATTTTAAAAATTGTTTTGGGTCAATCAAAATGTTCTACTTCAATCATACCTTTGATCTTGTACTACATTACAAGATACAATTCAAGATCAACACCAGAAGGCAGAAATTGAACCGTATTGCCAAATTGCTCTTTTTCCTGTTTTTTCTTCCAAAATGGAATTGCAGTGGGACACACGTTTTCATGAAGCTTTCTGACAGGAGCCACCTAATATTACAGAATATGGTTCCAGCAAAATTCCTCTGGGCAATACGAATATCTAGTAGAGCTGTGTCTGCTGAGCTGTTCATGGAATACAAAACACATCCACCAGGAAGCTCTACAGGCCAGCAAAGTAAGTAGATTAAGGAAGTATCACTGGCTCTGATCAGTCACCATCCAACTCCAGCACTAGCATCAGTTCTTTTGGTACTTGTGGAAAGACTTTGCAGTTCATGATGCAGACCATCACGAACAGAAAGATGTTGCCAAATCATCTGCTTTCCAACTCATTTCTTATTTTTTCCTACAAAATTACAAGCACCATGTGAAACTGTATATGAAGGCAACTATACTACTCTTCCCTTTCAGCAACACACAAATAATTTCATGCATATTAGCAAATTAGATTTCTTAGTGATCTGATATGCAATCTCATCAGCAGAAAGTGACAAAGAGCCAAAGACAGAGGTGGAGCACAATTTAGAAGCTGGAGTTCCAGAAAATATTTATCCTGTGTGCAACCCCGCTTCCTTGTTCTCAGCCCTTACTCATTTGAGGGCAAGAGTGAATACTACAAGAAAAAGATGGTCAAGAACAAGGCAGTATGAAATATTTTGTAACATTAGATATGAAAGAATAATTAAAAATCTCAGTAGCCACTATCATTTTACATAAACCTCCTACTGATTGTTTTGGAGGATCTTTTTTATTTTAGCACTTTATACTTTCTGTGTAGGTATGCATGTGGGTGCAGGGAGGCAGAGTACAAATATAGACCACAAGTATTTCAGCCTATAAATACATTGTCTAGGAAGCAGAGGTTTAGCCTGGGAGGGAGGAAGAGAAAGGAGACAGAGAAGAACTGGAATACAAGCAGCAGAAAGCTGGAAGGAGACTGGAAAGCAGCGAGAATGAAAATGCAGCCAGGACTTGGTGGCTGTGTGAATCAAGTCAAATATTTGCACTTCTTCTTAGCACAAAGGAAGAAATGGGGAGGGCACTGAAGGTAAACTAAAGTGAACTGGATACTGGTAGGAATGAGGTCCTGCTATTGCAGACAACATCTGACAGAAATAATTGGCACTTATTAACATGGTAAGAAAATCACCAAGTTTTCATGATAAATTTGATGGAGTCCACATAACGTGCTCCTCCAAACCTCCAATTCCTTTTTCCATCTAAATATACATTGTAAACTACACAAGGACAGCAAGAAAACACACGAGGCATTCGGGAAGAGGCATCTAGCCAGCTCCCATCTGCCAGAAAACTGTCATTTATTATCACTATATTAATTTGATTTTTTTTTTTTTTTTAAACCAATAGTAAACTTAGCTTGTATTCAATTCTAGGAGAATTATGCTGTTTGACAAACAATGGCAATTTTATGCTATTATACTTTTTATTTGACGTGCACAAAGAACTTCCTAAACAGTGTCCTTCATCTTTGGTTAAAGCTGTCCAGAGATCTGTAGGCTCTCTCACAGTGTGATGAAATGATTGGGCTGAACTGTAATGCACAATTTCATTGGCATCGTGGCCTACGTGTATTACGGCTGTCTTGCTCTCTCCTTTTAAAATATCATCACATGTTCAGAGTGCAAGGACTGTGTCTAGTCTTATGGCATGTAAGAGTTTGTCTGATAAATGACAAAAATACTCCAAGATACAGGAGGAAAACTCAAAAATTGTATTGAGATTCTCATAAAACTGGTTCAGCTACTTTTTCTAAGGAGTATGGTAAGAGCCAATTGAAAAAATTATAGCTTGACCCATCTCTACTCTCTTAGAATAGGGCAACGGCTTTCTATGGCATAAAATGATATAATCTCTGTAAGCAAAAGATTTCTTAGCAAAAATACATCTGGTTTTTAAAACAACTAAGGTGTGAGGGAGGAACATCATTAAAAGAAGTCAAAGGTACTGAGCTATTTTCTTTAAAAAACTAATAATGAAAAAGACTCCAGATAGTGTACCAGAAAGCTACCGTAATATGGCAAACTTGTGTGGGAAAGATGGTAGCTTTTACATTCTGTGCTCAGAACACAGGTGAAGTAAACATACTAAGAAAGAAACCATGGACCTAACTCTCCAAATATAACCTTTACCCCTGTAAGGCCAGTGACTTAAGGTAGTAAGATATTAGCAGTT